GAGCCCGATGCGGGACTCGATCCCGGGACTCCAGGATCATGACCTGAGCCGAAGGCAGTCGCTTAACCAACTGAGCCACCCAGGCGTCCCGGGTGCATGAACTTTTAAAGATGATTCAACAACGAAGCATGAGAAGGAGCATTCTAAGGTAGTTAAGAGATTCAGGAGAAAGCAAACCAAAGGAAGAGTCTCAAGAAGGAATTTCCACAGATCTGGATCTATTAGATAAAAGGACAGCTGTGCATGTCATGATCTTTTTCAAAAATATACATGCCAGCCCTACTGAATCTGGAGTGGTAGGCTGGGGACAGAGGAGGGGACAGTGGCTTGGCAGGGGGGAGGGTGTAGATCACACACATGTATTTTGAAAAAGTTCCTAAAAATTCTGTTACGGCGCCCCTCTCAGCCCCCGTCTTTAAATGCTGGAGGACAGGGACTGTGTCTTTTGCTTGGTAACATGGCAGGCATTCAATACATGTTTATTTAATGGTTGTCCCTGCTCTCTCAGTTTGGGATTCTGACAGTAATAAAATCACATCTTTATAATAAAGACTTATCACCAGAACAGTTGTTAATAATGGTAGTGCAAGCCTGGGAGACAATTTCAAAGGAAGTTTCCCAAAGGAAGGTGGATCAAACTCCATAAGTATTTAGTTTGCTAAGGTGACTACTTCGAAGGAACTAACACTAATTTAAATGAGAGATTTTGGGATATTGTTTTAAAATGTTCTCATCCTATTATAATGCACACATAGATACACAGATTGTGACTTGTTTATTTTAATTAAGAGAACAGACTTCAAGCCTGGAAGAGACAGAGGGATACTTGTGGACAAGCACTGACTACGGGCTTTGAAGAACTTGGTTCAAATCCATGTCTTGCCACTAAGAAAGTTACTGAATTTCTCTGGGCCCTGTTCTCACATTTTTAAAATGAAAGGTTTTGTCTAAATGGTAGCTAATGTTCCTCCCCAGTCTAAAATTATCTGATGTTGTTTTCCTTATGATGTCTAAAAAGGTTAAATCATTTAGACTACAAATAAGTAAAAATTTCCTTCTCTTCACCCATCCCCACATTTAGCTCTTATTAGATTTAATCCCATTTCTTTCACTTGTTACCCTAATATTTAAAAGGTACATAAGATGATTTAACAATATTGTGAAAATCTCAAGCTATAAAATTCTTTTTTTTTTGAGATTTTATTTGAGAGAGAGACAGCGAGAGCAGGAACACAAGCAGGGGGAGAAGGAGAGGGAGAAGCAGGCATCCCAGCTAGCAGGGAGCCCGATGTGGGGCTCGATCCCAGGACCCTGGGATCATGACCTGAGCTGAAGGCAGACGCTTAACGACTGAGCCACCCAGGCACCCCTCAAACTATAAAATTCTTAAGTTATTTTGTTGTGTGTATTTTTCTACAGGTTGAACCTGAAGATCACATTGAATTGTCTTCTGGTCCTGAATCTGAAAAACCATTGGCTTCAAAAGCCATTGGCATTTCCGAAGGTGTGTGTGTGTGTAGTGGGGAGTTGGTGGGGGGGGCTGAAGCCTTGCTTTGAAAGAATAAGTATTGCCCTTTGGGAGCTAGAGAACTAGGAATAGTTTTCATTTGTGAGCCCAAGCCCGCAGTCCCCTAATTTAGATTAGGATTATTCTTGTGATAATGTGATTGGCTCCCACCCAGGCCATTGTTTTCCTGAGAAGCCAATGCTATAGCCTCCTAGAATGGGGAGCGTTCAGCCACACACTTGCTGAGGGTTGCACAAAGCTTGGTGCTGAGGTTGCTGTTTGTCCCTGGTCAACTGCAGAATTGGGATTTGAGGTTCTGGTTATATGGCCAGGCAGTGGTGAAATAGTATATGTTTGAATTTCTTATTGAAAGAATGAAATTAGGGTAGTTACTTAAAATTTCTACTGTATCCATAGTTGTTTATCCCTGCATTCTCTTTCATTCAGTCTTGTCAGCAATTTAATGTGGTTTTCTTTTCTTTTTCTTTTTTAAACAGGCTTTGGTTTGATTCTGTTGTTTAATTTTCTTTTTCATAAATTTCTACCCCTTAGCTTTACTATTTCTTTGGTTTTTGAGGGCTTAACCTGTTGTTGGCTTTTTCCTAACTTCATTCTTTCTTTTTTTCTAATATATGTATTTGAAGCTGAATATGTCCCTGCAAGGACCCAGACAAGAGCGCTGATATGCATCATGTTTTGGTGTTGTTTTGATCTAGATAGTTTGTAATTTGTATTAAGATGTCTTTTAGCTCATAAAAGGGATATTTAGCTTCCCAGTATTATGGGGTTTGGGCTATATTTTTATTCATCTATTCATTGCATTATGATTAGATAAGTGTATGATAATGGCAATTCTTAGATATTTGTTAAAATTTCCTTTGTGGCCTGGGATGTATAGTCAGTTTTGGTAAATGTTTACTTGAAAAGAATATGCGTTTACTGTTGGTTTATGTAGGATGTGTGTGTGTGCGCGTGTGTGTGTGTGTATACACGTACATAAGGTGTGTGTGTGTATGTTTAGTCAGGCTTTTAAATTGTATATTTATACATATATATATGTTTAATCAAACTTTTAAATTGTCCAGATTTTCTGTATGCTTTCTGATTTTTTAGTTTGCTTGCTCAGAAGCGTGCATTAAAAATTGCCCACAGTGATAGTGGAATTTCTCCTTGTGATTCTGTTAAATGTTGCATTATATAGTTGAAGCTATGTTATAAAATGATTATGTTCATTATTGTTATATTTTTGGTTGAATTTTGCCCCTTTTCTCATTAATGACCCTCTTTATCCCCAATAATGTTTTTAGACTCAACTTTATCTACTATTAATATTTCCCTGCTATATCTTTTTTGATACATTTAATTTTTAAAAAATTTATCATGGACAATTTCAGTAGAAGACAGAATAGTATAATTAACCTTCATGAACCCTATATCCAACTTTAACAGTTATCAACTCATGGTCAATCCTCTTTTATGTATACACCCACTTACTCCTCCCACCTTTTCCTGGATGATTTTGAAGCAAATCCCAGATAGCATATTATCTACCTATAAATATTTTGTAAATATGTCTAAAAGATAAGGTTTCTTTTTTTTAAACACAGGCATAATAATATTATTGCTCCTTTTAAAAAATTAATATTGTCATATATCTAATCAGTGTTTCAGTGTTGTCAGCTATCTCATTTTATAAAAATAGCTTATTTTTTTATTCTAGTTGGAATCCAAGTGAAGTCCATACATGGCAGTCGTTTGATGGCTTATAAGTCTCTTTTAACTTCTTGGTGCCTTCTCTCTCTTTTCCCCCTTGCAATTGATTTGTTGAAGAAACATAGATGTTTGTCCTGAAGTGTTTTTCAGAGTCTGGATTTTGCTAATTGATTCTCTATGGGGTCATTTAACATGTTTCTCTTGTATTTTCCGTAAGTTAGATATTCCTTTATTTTCAAGTTGAGTGATTATGTTGTAGTTGTGTCCAGCATATAACTAGATCTCATTTTTTTTTTTTGAAGATTTTTATTTATTTATTCATGAGAGACAGAGAGAGAGAGGCAGAGGGAGAAGCAGGCTCCCAAGAAGCAGAGAGCCCGATGCGGGACTCGATCCCAGGACTCTGGGATCATGACCTGAGCCGAAGGCAGACGCTCAACCATCTGAGCCACCCAGGCGCCCTAGATTTCATTTTTAAAAGTAGTTAATTTATGTGTCTTAATCATCAAATATAATTATATTATGTATATTGTGATTACTGATATATTTGTGCTTATTTCTATAATCTTATTTTGTGCTTCCTATTTACTATGTATTTTTTTCTTTTTGAGCTGCTTTCTTTCCTTCTCTTGGATTGGGTTTTCTGTATTCTCTCTTTTCCTCTCTGTTGGTTCAGAAATTACACATTCTGGGGCACCTGGCTGGCTCAGTTGGTGGAGTGTGTGACTCTTCATCTCAATGTCCTGAGATCGAGCCCCACCTTGGATGTGGAGAGTACAGAAATTACACATTCTCTTTTTAATCTCTTAGTGATTATTCTTGAATGTTCAATATCCATAGTTGAATTAAAATTTAAGGCAAATATATTTACCTCCTAAACAATATAAAGACTTTAGAGCTTTTAACATTGGTCTGCTCCCTCCCTCCCTCCCTCCCATCTTCCCTGATACTGTTTTCTAGTATTTTAGATCTGCTTTGTTTTTAATTTAGTCTCCCATGTCTTTTCAGTCAACACTTACTTGAACTTACCAGCATGTTTTCCAGTTTCTTTGCCTTCAGTTGCTTCTTTTGAAAAAATTTGTAACTCAAATAATGTAAATATGTAAACCATGAATGTATAAAACCAAAACACAAGTTTCAGGAAATAATACTTAACCCTTATTGCCTGAGATGCACTCTGGCAAAACTTTCTATTCTCTGCTATTGTTGCTCACAATTTCTTTTTGCATCTGCTTTCTTGAGGATTGCTTCCTTTTTCCTTCCTTTATTAGTTCTTCCATCTAGAGCATGTGAGTGGTAAATTCTCCTAGTCTTTGAAAACATCTTTAATTTTATTACAATTTATGAGTGATAGCTTACAGATGGGGACAGAATTCTAAGTTGATCCTCATTTTCCCTCAACATTTTAAGGATAATATTCCATTATTTACTGACATCTCTAATTGCTGAGTTTATACTGCCTATGTGCTGTCTGTCCAGTTACTGTTCTTTTATCTCTGAATTCTTTTAATATTTTCTCTTTATTTTTATTTATTTTATTTTATTTTTTTTTAAAGATTTTATTTATTTATTTGACAGAGAGAGAGATAGCGAGAGCAG